AGTTGATATGTTTATTATGTGTATTAGTATGTGTTTATGTGAATGTCAGTGTTTTTATCTTTTGTTTTACCCCTTTGTTTTTGTACAGCACTTTGGGCAAACTTTCTGTTTTTAAATGTGCTATATAAATAAATTGGATTTGGATTTGGACAGTATAACTCTCGGATCCAATAATTTGGTTGTGTGTGATTTAAGCAACATGCCTGTTTACTTGTGTTTGTTACTTTTTGATGTCTGCTTTCATGACTTTTCTGTTACATGTCTGTGTTTCATTGTGGGGTTTTTTTTTTCAGTATTAATGCACCTTCAGATGTAGCATCTTATTTCATCTTGTCTTATAACCTGGTCAGCAGGTGAGGCTAAAGCAGTAATGCACCTCCTCTGTGAATTTAGCTGTGGGGAGCATTCATTTATCAAATTCAGTTCTGTAATACATTTTATATACGTTTTTATATATTTTATAAATTTTATATATTTAACACGAGAGGCATTTGAACAGGTAACGAGGTATCGAGTTAAAACTAAGTGGGAGAAAGCTGCATGATGCGGTGGGGTTAATTTGCAGCCGTAAACAAGGCAAAGGTGGCAAGAGGTGGATGAATATGTTATTTTCTGGGGAGGCTCTTAATTCCAATAAAGCCAACCCACTGAGAGAGAGAGAGAGAGAGAGAGATCCACCGAGCTCCTGGAAGTCCACAGTGGTATCGGGATGCATTTAAGCACCATCTGGGTTTAACTTTGCACGGTGCATGCTTAACTCGATAGTAATCCTACATTTTGAGGGTTTTTTTTTTTCTAAATTCCACATGTCGGACATGCTCTGAGACACAGGACGGACTCGGACTTCACTCCTGTAGGCCTATTTTATTTGGCGACCTGCAGGTTATTTTATTTGGTCTGAGCATCGCCGCCGGAGCGCAGCGGGAGCAGGACAGCCTCACAGCCTCAGGATGAATGTACCTGCCGTCATGTTGCTCATCCACTTGACCCACATTCACTTGAAAGGTAAAGACCCTTTAATGTATTCAATAGGTTATTTCAATTATTCTTCGTACTCTAAACAGATCCAAACTTTTTATTTTTTGTTCATGTGCCAGCATGTTTGATGGACACGAATATCGAGAAACACGAAGGGGCAAAAAATCTGCGCTGCATTATTTACACTGTTAACTGCGGGATTGAAACCATGCGCTCCCCTTTCAAAGAGTCTCGTCTGTCCTGCAGTGATCTGAGACGGACTGAGGTGTTATTCCTGCCGCAGAGGGTGGAAAAGTCTCAAACAGACTGCGAGTGCTCGTTTCAATGTGAGCAGAATGATCTGAGAGAAACAAAACAAACACAGACCCTAAGATTCAGGATGCGATACGGACGCTGTGATAGGCTTGAATTTGCATTACCGAGAACTTGTGTAAGCGCTAAATTGCTCGACGGGACGAAACTGTATCAACCATTATGACGAATTAAAGTATGAATGATATTATTTTACGTTTTTCAGATTTTTTTTTTCATTCACTGCAACATGAATGAACATGAATGAACATTTCCCCCACAACTTGCCACCCTGAGACTCATCTCATCTCCCACAGCATTAGAAAAGTTTGACTGTATGATGTTATCTATAAGCGCCTATTTAACTGTTAAGAAAATCACCACTTACTAATATGAAGATCAATAAATTATATGTGTTTAATACTGTAGGCTTTGTTTTTTAAAACAAAAGGGGGACATTAATAATGAGCAGTGCTAACATCATGACAGAGGCATGTGTGAGTCAGTAGGCGGCAAACAAGAGACCACACAACATTCACACTTCAGGAAAGTATCAGCTGCATCTCAGTATTTCACTTACAAGAGTTTATTTAATACATATTTACAGAACGGACCCCATTTTTTACATTTTAATTCAGTGTCCAGAACGCTCTTGAGTTTACTGATTTAATCTGTATGAGTCATGGATCAGCAAGCAGCTGACAGCACAGGTTGCGCCAGTCCTTCCCTCTTTCTGGTCAGGCATAATTTCTGTGTTCAGCTCACCTGCACTACAGATGTTTCCAGTTGTGCAGCCAGGGAGGTTCAACTGCAGAAAATACAGTGAAGCAAGAGCAACAATTCAGCCAGTAGTGAAACCCATTACAGTTTTTACAATTCAGTGTTTTGGGCTAATTTAGGTTTTGAAGTTACAGTGATGTGAATCAGAGGCTCCTCAGCTTATTCCAAAATCATGCTTATTTTTAAAATTTGGAGAGAAAATCTGCAAATTGAAGAAGTTTTGATTTTATTAATATCTTTAATATATTTACAGATATGCATAAAATCATCATTTGAGTATGTATTGGCGTTGATCACCTGATATTTGACCCGTTGGTGACTGAATAGAAACACTCGAGGTGAGCAGGCAGCACAGAGGCAGACATGATGTCACCTTGTGTTCTTTCTCCACTGCTCTCTTTATCTGTGAATGTCCCCTCTGCCTCAGACAAAGGTGTGAAATTAAGTCTATCTTTATGGTTACTGGAAGACTCTCGAGACACCGGTATACTGTTTTCTTCCATGACTGCCTGAGTGGAGGTGGAAAATTTGACAGACCGTTCTCTCAAATGTGGTCATATTTCAAGTAAAGCAGGCTGTATCTCTCTGTCTATGTTCATGATACACAAAAACAGAACAGAGTGTTGATCCTTTGATGGAAGTGGCCTGTAATTCATCCAACAAACAACTCAGTCACCAACAATTTGAACATGAATTAAAACATGATGCATGCAATGCAGGATTATACTAAACTACACAAATTTTGCACGAGTAAGTTCTGGCTTTAAAATCAAAGAATGAGATCACAAACTTAAAAGAATCGTGCTGTGAAAATAACATTTCCATCATCCTGATTTCAGCTTTTTTTATATTTCTTGCACTTAGGTTTTTCAGATTATCAAACAAATTTTAATATTGGACAAAAACATGCAGTGCAAATACAAAATGCAGTGTTTAAATGCTGATTTTATTTATTAAGGGAAAAAAGTCGACCTAACCGTGTGTGAAAAAGTCATTACAAGGCATTACATAAAAAGAATATGATACCAACAATCAAACATGGTGGTGGTAGTGTGATGGTCTGGGGTTGCTTTGCTGCTGGACGACTTGTTGTAATTGATGGAACCACAAATTCGTCTCTCCAGCAGAAAACCCTGAACAAGAGTGTCCAGAAGCTCGAGAGCACTTGGGTTTTACAGCCGGTGAATGAGCCTAAACAGCAAATTCACTTCTGAATGCCCCCAAAAGAAACAAAAACACAAAAACAAAAAGGATAAAATGAAGGATTTGTAGTGGGCTAATCAAAGTCTGGACTTTAATCAAATCAGATCCTTTGGCATGACCTTAAACAGATCGTTTATGTTCAAAAACCAACTACTGTGTCCAAACTAAAACAATTCCCCAAAAGGAGTGGCCCAAAATTCCTCTACAGTGACGTGAAAGACTCATTGCCAGTTATCCACGTGCCCATTTGCAGTTCTTGCTGCCAAGAATGGCACAACCACTTCTCCAGCTTAAGGGAGAAATTTCTTTTTCACACAGGGTCAGTTAAGTTTGAATCAATTCATTTCCCTTATTAAATGAAATAATAATTTAATAAAACCTGCACTTTATACCTACATGGATTAGTTTGTCTAATATTAACATTTTTGATAATTTGAAACATGTAATTGGGAGAAATATGCAAAAAATAAGAAAGAGAAGGGACAAATGCAAAGAGGTGTTGTAGTTTATTTTTTAAAATGTGCTAAAATGAAGTGAAATACAATTGTGTTTTCAGGTTGTATGTTTTCCCCTTTAAGGACTTCAGGCGAGATTGAGACGGTTCACGGGGTTGTTCTGACCCTTGAGCCATATTTTGTGCCCATGAGAGAGTTTTTGTTCACAGTCATAGACATAACAGCAGCAACAGTTTATACCAGGGGTGTCAAACGTACAGCCCGTGGTGAGGATGCGGTGTCCGATACAATTATATCCACCCCACAAGATAATTTTATGTGTCAGTTATTATTGGCCCGTTAGTAAGTGGGAGACTAATTTTAAGCCGTGCTGAAAGTCCTTGCAGGCAGGGATGGGACTGGCCCACCATTCAGCCAGTAATCGGCCATTGTGTGAAGGAAGAAACGGGGCAGACGTTCCAAGACAGCAAGTGTAGTGGTGCAGGTCAAGTACACAGAGAGATGGCAGAACTGCCAAAAACTTTTTTTTATCTGTAATGTCCTTACTCGTATTGGTAAATAGACTAGTGGACAGGACAAAGGGGTTATATATGAAATATAATGTTTGCAAGTATCTTAAGGACCTCATCATTTTACCTACATTATAACAAATTAAAATATCTTTGTAGAACTATTGCTATATTGTTGCAATTTCTGCCGCCCACTTGGCCAGACGCTTTAACTGGATAAATAAAGGATATATGAAAAGTGCCAAAAACTACATTCTGACAGAAATGTTGTTTGTAGCTCAAGATGAATTATATGAATTATACTGTTCACGAGGGACCATAATTCCACATATTATGGTCCAACGAGTGATTTATAGCTTTTTAAATATGGACAATTGATTTTTGGCGGACAATAAATTTTTGGCACAACACCGGATTCAAATGCAAGCGTGTCGGGAAAAAGTGAAGCAAAATGCAAACTGAGCAGTGTCTGGCTTCATTTGAATGCAACGCTGAGTGCAGAATTGATAGAATTAGGAGCTGGCTACAGTGATACCTGTTTTTATTTTCAGCAAGCCTGTTTTATGACTATTGTTAAAAAAATAAACAAAAATAAAAATAGAAAACTGGACAGTCTGAGCAATCAGCTGCCAGAACTTATTCTGTAATTTTGCACATTTATTTCTTACAGTTTAAGTCCAAAGAGTCACGCTGACAGATTTCTTTTTTTGTAACAGCAGCTTTTTCTTTAACATGTAGAAAAACAGTTAAATATGTGACTTCTTTACACAGGAAGTAGAGTTTCACCAGTTTGCCCACTTATGTTTAAAGCAGGCTGTATGTGGCCTGTGATATAAAACGACTGACACCTCTGGTTTCGAAGTACTGAACGAGGCATTCACAGGTCACATTTCACTTTCTCTTTTATTAGTTGCTGCTTTTAGCTTCAGTCTCACAGTCCTGGCAGCCTGCAGGACCTTCGGTCACTAGGGAAAAGTGAGTATTCCTCGACTGGTGTCAAAGAGGGAGTTACTGACGGGTCTCTATGACCGGGGCTTTAGAAATTGATTTCACAGCAAATGCTAGGAACCCGAAAAACCACATAAAAGTGGTCAGGGAATCTTTGTTGTTTCTACATGAGTGGTGTCAATCATAAGGTTCAGGGGCCGGAATTGACCCTCAAAGACTCAAATCTGGCCCATTTGGAAAATTGGATCAATGTGAGCTGTATGTGGCCCTCAATTTAAGATGAGTTCAGCATCCCTGTTCTACATATTACATAAAGCATGCAAAGAACTTTAAGTGCATTGTTTTTCTTAATATTTATTTTGAAAGTAAATTGTTGCATTGTCTAAATTGCATGTTTTCTATCACAATTTTTTACAGTACTGTTAATCACTATAATTAAAACTCTGTGGATCAGGGCTCACATTTTCTGACATGACACAAAGAAAACGGGGATTCGGTTTAACATACCAACACTATGAGCCCTAAGGAAAATTCCCTATTTGGAGAGCTCACTCATTAAGTCAGGTAACTTTACTTGCACTGTAAGTGTACATAGCAACAAGATCGCATAAACAAAGATTAAAAAAAAAATGACGGTAACCATTTAAATGAGATAACAAAATAAAATTGTACAAACGCCCTGGGTTAAATTTATAAAAGGGCTTAAATAAAAAATCAAATCAAATCACAAATAAAATCTAATGTAATAGAAACATGGTTTGACAAAACCATAAAGCATCTCAGGCTTGACTTGTCTTTGCGTTTGATTTAAAATTGCGAACCACTGGACCGGTTCTTATGT